TTTCCAGTGAGATATTTCACATTCTCTTCTATTTTTTCATTCTTTTTTTTTGGGGGGGGGTTGTGCAATGGGGGGGTGGTAAGTGACTTGCCCAGGGTCAAGCAGTTTATAAGTGTTATGTGTGTGAATCTGGATTTTAACTCAGGTCCTCCTGAATTCAGGACCGGTGCTCTATCCACTGTGCCACCTAGCTGCCTCCTATTTTTTCATTATTTTGAATTAGTGTTACAGTGCCTTGATTTCTTAAATTGTCACTAGCTTCCAATTTCTCCATTCTAATTTTTAAGGAAATGTTTTCTTCAGTAAGCTTTTGGACTTCCTTTTCCATTTGGCCAGTTTTGTTTTTTAGGGCATTCTTCTCTTCATTGGCATTTTGGACCTCTTTTGCCATTTGGGTTAGGCTATTTTTTAAGGTGTTATTTTCTTCAGTATATTTTTTTTGGGTCTCCTTTAGCATCACTCTCAGTTTTTCCTCTACTTCTCTTACTTGCTTCTCAAAATCCTTTTTGAGCTCTTCTATGGCCTGGGACCAATTCATGTTTTTCTTGGAGGCTTTGGATGTAGGAGCCTTGACTTTGTTGTCTTCTTCTGATTGTGTGTTTTGATCTTCTTTGTCACCAAAGTAAGATAATATAGTCTGACTCTTTTTGCGCTGCTTGCTCATGATCTTGGCCAATTACTAGAGTTATAAACTCTTTGTTAAGGTAAGAGTCTGTTTCCAGTGTGGAGAATGTACTGTCCCAAGCTTCAGGGGTTTTGTGCAGTTGTTTTCAGAGATACTTCTAGGGACCTGTAAATTTTCAGTTCTTCCAAGGTGCTATGATCAAGTGTGACGTGTTTACTCCTTTCCTGGACTGTGCTGTGGTCTATAAGTGACCACAAGCACTCTTTTCTGCCTTGGAACTGTGAAGATTTCCTCTTCACAGCTACTACAAGCTCCATCATGCCAGCGCTCCTTCCCGCCCCACGACTGCCACCCAGAACTGTGACACAGATCCAAGCACGGGCAAAGCAGGAGAATCCTGCACCAGCAGAGAGATCCCTGCAATCCCCCTCTGATCAGCCACTCGATTCCCCCTCAGTCTGTGGGCTGGAAGCTCAGGAGGCAGTCCCCTCCCCAGGCTGCACTTGGGGAATGGAGCTGAGACCCTGTGCTCCTCTCTCAGCACTGCAGAAAACAGACTTTTCCCACTGACCTTCTAAGTTGTCTTTGGCATTTCTGAGTTGAGAAGTCTGGAATCCACCACAGTTGTCTGCGATTCAGTCCTCTGAGTTCTGCTCCAGGTTCACTGTGGCCTGCGTGCCCATGCTGCCCTGTGCTCTTCTACCAGACTGGCGCGATATACCATTCTAATCAACCATCCAGGTTGTCTTGGGCTGGAAATTTGTTTCACTCTGTCTTTTTGTGGGTTCTGTTGCTTTAGAATTTGTTTAGAGCCATTTTTTATAGGTATTCGGACGGGTTTAGGGGAGAGCTCAAGCAAGTCACTGCTTTTACTCCGCCATCTAGCCTATTCTACTTTTAAAGGAGTTCTTTTCTTCAGTGAATTTTTGTGCCTCTTTTACCATTTGGCCAATTCTGTTTTTTAAGGTTTGTTCAGTATGGGGTTTTTTTGTCTTTTTTTTTTTACCAAGCTATTAATTCTCTTTTTGTAATTTTCTTGCATCATTCTCATTTCTTTTCCCAATTTTCCCTCTACAACTCTTATGTCTTTCTTTGACTTTTTCAGGAATTCTTATTGGCCTTGGGTCCAAAGATTATTTTTCTTTGAGACTTTGCTTGTAGTTGTTTTCTTATTGTTGCCTTCTTCTAAGTTTATCTCTTGGTCTTCCGTGCCTCCATAGTAGCTTTTTATGTTCAGATTCTTTTTTTGTTTGGTCATTTTTCTAGCCTGTTTCTTCACTTTGAATTTTATTTTAAAGTTTGGTTCTTTTTTGTGCTCCCACTGCCAGAGCTAGTATGGGGTTGGACCCTATGTTTTTGGTGCTTCTAAGGTGGTATTATGCTGGGAGAAGTGAGTCACTACTTTACTGATCTGCTCTTTGGTCTTTACTCAGTGAAGGGCCCTTGCTCCCCTGCAGCCACAAGTAGTAGTGCTCCTCTTGGCCCTAGTACTGTGACCAGGAACCCTACTTCCTTGTGACTGTTCACAGGTGTATCTCCCTACCTTGGAACTGGGACCAGAACTGCTTATGGGCAGTAGAGTTGCCAATCAGTACCAGCTGCACCCAGTGTAAGCAAAAGGGTTCCTTATAATCTCTTTCTGACTAGTTGTCTGACCCACTCATCATCTCCGAGCTGAGAGCTTCCAAAGTTGCTGCTGCTGTTCTGGCTGCCTCCACTATCTATTATTGGTGCTCCTGTTGTGCTTCAGGCCTGTGCCCATCCTGGGGTTACAGATCTCTCCTACCAAGTTTCTAAGTTGTCCTAAGCTGGAAAAATGTCTCCCTCTGACGTTTTGTTTTCTCTGCTGCTCCAAAATTTGATTTGAGGTGTTATTTTAAAGTTGTTTGGAGGGGAATATTGGGGGAGTTCAGCTGGGTCCTGGTCTGTTCTCTGCTATCTTTGTCCTAGAGGAAATAGGGAGCTACTTATAAGCTCCTTCAGCTAGAGGGTGACGTGGTCAAACCTATACTTCAAGGAAACTGTTTTGGCAGCTGTGATTGGGGAGGGGAGACTAGAAACAGATTTAGATAAGAGATGATGACAACTTGTGGTAATCTTGTGATTGGAGGGAAGGAGATGGGTATGAGAGATGTTGTAGAGCTCTTATTGACTAGACTTGGCAACTGATTTGATATGAGGGATAAGGGAGAGTAAAGAGTTGTTGAAGACTTTGAGTCTGGGAATCTGGAGAATTGGAAAGATCCTGGTAGAAATGGAAAAATTGGGAGGAGAGGGTTAGGTTTAGAAGATAAGGTGAGTTCCATTTTGCACATGTTGATTTTGAGATGTCTATAGGTTATGCATTTGAAGGCATCTAATAGGTAAGTTGGGGATTCAAGCCTGAAGCTTGAGAAGGATTAGATCCTGGATATATAGATTTGGGAGTCATGTGTATTAAGTTGAGAGTTGAACCTAGGCAATAGTATATGCTCTCACTCTCATGGTTCTTATAGTTTAGTAAGGGTCTTGGGGCTAATATAATGCACAGTGATGCAGAAGTGCATAAAGGAGTGTAAAACATAGATGTCAGGATTGGGGCCACAAATATGGACTGAGAAAATTATTCTCAGCAGCTGCTGCCTCCTGAGCTTCTGGCCCACAGACTGAGGGGGAATCAAGTGACTGATCAGAGGGAGATTGCAGGGATCTCTCTGCTGGTGCAGGATTCTCTTGCTTTGCCCATGCTTGGATCTGGGTCACAGTTCTGGGTGGCAGTCCTGGCGCGAGGAGGAGCGCTGGCATGGTAGAGCTTGTGGTGGCTGTGGAGAGGAAATCCTCACAGTTCCAAGACAGAAAAGAGTGTTTGTGGTCACTCATAGACCAGAGAGAAATCCTTTAGGAGGTAATATTTGAGTTTAAAAGATGAGTAGGAATCATCTTGTTTGAGGAAATAACTCTCCATTCAATAGTGACTTCATAGATGGAGAATTTGGGAGTGAAGAGGAAGTGATAGGCTTTGAATTTTTGAAGTAAGGAGCTATTATTTCTTTAGTTATATTGTATTAATTGCAGAATAGCCAGTCTTCCTCTCTGGCACCATGTATGTCTTCTAAAATTTGGAAGTAAAAATTACATCAGGGTCATTTAGATGAAAATCTTCATTTTACAGAAGGAAAAAAAACAAACTTAAGTCCAGAGAATAGAAGTGATAAGGCAGCAGTAAATAGCAAAACTGGAATTTCAACCCAGTTCCTGATTCTAGTTCCTCTAGGATATAGAACTGTATAATCTCTGTTTGCTCACCCAGATTCTTAAGAAACAATGAATTGTAATGGAAAAATCACTGGACTTGAAATCAAAAGGCTAGCTAGTTTGAATCCTAGCCTTGGTACTTAGTCTTTGTGTCACCTTGGGAAGACATGTCACTTGACCTCTTTGGGCCTCAGTTTTCTCAACTATAGAAAAAGAGTTTTGGATTAGATGGACTTCTAAAATCTCTTCCAGGCAGTAATTTAACAGAGTAGATAAAGTGCTAGGCTTGGAGTCAGGAGGATTTATCTTTCCTGAGTTCAGATCTGGTCTCAGACTCATAGTAGGTATGTGACCCTGGGCAAGTCACTTAACCCTGTTTGCCTCAGTTTCCTCATCTGTAGAATGAGCTGGAGAAGGAAGTGGCAAACCACTCCAGTATTTTTGCCAAGAAAATCCCAAATGGGGTCACAAAGAGTCAGACATGACTGAAAAATAACTGAACAAGAACATCAAAAAGTCTCCTCCAGCTTCATATCTACAATCCTATGAATCCCTTCTCCAAAACTGACACTACTACAATTCTCTGTAGTTCACTTCCTCTCAGTGAATGACAGTTTTTCATCAGCTATAAAATGGACTTAATAATTCTTTCACTACTAATCTCAGAATTTTTAGTAGGAGAGCACTTTTTAAACCTTAAAGTAAGTGTAGAAATGTGAATTTTTTGGGGATAATTGTTCTTTGTGACCTCAGGCAAGTGGTTTACCCTCTGGGGGTTTCTGTTTCCTCTTTCGTAAAATAAGAAGTTTGGACCTTGAGGTTCTTTCCAGTCTCTGATCTTAAGTTCTTTTTACCTCTCAAACACATAGAGTCAGAAAAGGTATTCTGAGTTCTGTCTGTGAAAAATTAAGAATTTGGCCTTAACCTGTCTAGGATTGTTGTGAGAAAGTGTTTTGTAAAACCACTCACACTACAGAAATGTGTTTTATTGGTATGATTGAGGCATCATAGCATAATGAAAAATTTGTCACTTTTATAAACCTTTTGACTTTTCAAGTTACTTTGCCTTTCTAAATTTGTTATTCTCTGTATTCTTTTTAAGCTCATGTAGATATTCCTTTTTTTTTTTAAATTTTTTTAGGTAGTCCCTTTAAACAATATGAAGAGGAGAAAGTAGACTTTTAAGGAAATTGGCCTCCGTAAAGAATGGCCTTCTTGGATAACCCAACAATCATCCTGGCTCATATCCGGCAATCCCACGTGACCAGCGATGACACAGGGATGTGTGAGATGGTCCTGATTGATCATGATGTAGATCTGGAAAAGTTTCATCCACCTTTGGTGCCTGGAGACAATGGCTCTGAAATGCCAGGAAGCAGTGTTGAAACTCAGGGCTATGTCTATGCCCAGTCTGTTGACATTACCTCAAGTTGGGACTTTGGCATCAGAAGACGCTCAAACACAGGTAAATGTGGGATGCAGCCCTGATTCTCTGAGCTTCATAGGCTCAGGTCTGGAAGAATCCTCAGAGATATTCTAGTCTAACATCTCATTTTATATGTGAGCAAATAATGCCCATAGAGATTGAGTGACTTGTCTGAGGTCACATAAGGAGTAAGCAGTGCTGGGAGTCCACCTCCCTGAGCATCTCTTTTACAACCTCTTTCTGCTTCACAGAGAAATTTAGTGTAAAGGAATACAGTCTGTTTTTCTCTAGTGTGTCATGTGTGAAAATAGCATATCTTTGTTTTGGATGATCAACATTAATTGATTACTTCTGCAATTGTTTTTAGTAAGCTTTTCTAAAAGTTGTTATTAGCAACAGTTTAGTTTGGTTGAAAGAATATTGGGCTTGGAGCCAGAATTCCTTCGTTTGAATCCTGGTTCTGCAACCATATTAGCTTTTTGGACCTTAGGCAAATCATTCTTTCTTTCTGGTCCTTAGTTTATTTATTTGTATAATGAAGATTTTGGATTAGCTGATCTCTAAGGACCCTTCTATTTCTTACATTCTATATTTTACTCTAAAATTCTTTGGGAAAAAAAAGGTGTAGTACCTAGTACCTTGTATGTGATTAATAAATAATGAATGTTTGTTAAATGAAAGAATGAATAACATTTGCAGTGTGTAGTACCTTGGAATGGGGAGGGAAGAAACATCCTGAAGAGATATAGTATTTTAGAAAGATACATTTCAGGATACTTGTCTTGTGTTCTTGTAGTACAGGGTGCCTAAATATAGCCTTTTGCTCCATCTTGATAGGTGTTTATTAAACACTTAGGTAGGCACAATCCTTGTTGATGAAGATGCAAACATATAAAATTAAGTAGTCACTGCTCACAAAGAGCTTTTGATCTACTAGCTTTTCAAAGAATTAGAAAGCATGACTTCCTATTGTCTTACAATAACTAGGTATTCTGGTTTAAGGCAGACTTTATTATTTCGTGACTGGTCAAAGGACTTATTCCTGTATCCTTAGTTAACTGTTCTGACCTAACCAGTCTGAGAAATATGATGATGATGATGATGATGATGATGATGATAGTGACGGCAGCTTACATTTATGTAGTACTCTAATGTTAGCAGAGTGCTTTCTCTCTATATACCTTATGAGAGGCAGTACAAATGTCACTATTCCCATTTTCAAATGGGAAGACAGAGGTTCATAGAATTAATCGTTTTGTCAGCAAGCTTTTATTAAGTGTTTACTATGTTCTAGGCTAGGGGTGGGGAACCTGTGAGCTTGAGACCACATGTGGCCCTCTGGTTCCTCAAGTGTGGCCCTTTGACTGAATCCAAACTTTACAGAACAAATCCCCCTAATAAAAGGATTTGTTCTATAAAACTTGGACTCAGTCAAAAGGCCGTACCCAAGGACCTAGAAGGCCGCATGTGACCTTGAGTCCGCAGGTTCCCCATCTCTGTTGTAGGCCATGTGTTAATTGATGGAGGTAAAATGTATTATTTGGCAGCGTAGTAGAATCTGTTTTTCCATATGCTTCCAATACTGTAAGAGATTAAAATAAGCCATATTTCTATAGTACTTTTAGGTTTTCTCTACGGCAGAAATGAGATTGGTAGTGCAAGTAGTTTTATTTAGGTAAGGAAACTAGGATGTAGTAGTATGGTTAAGTGACTTGCCCATGGGCACGCAAGTAGGATGGCTAACTCCAATTGTAGGGATTTTTCCATTATTTAATTTCTTTCTGGTAGTCCTCAAAGTTTCCTGTTCATTGTCTTTTCCCCTCTTCCCTTTAAACAGTCATTGGCACTCTGAATGTCTTTTGTAAGATGTTGGCCTCCTCAAAGTCAAGCCATTGAGTTAGCAAGGATCTAAAATTTATAAAGAACTAAGTAATAATCACAGACATACAAATGATACAGAAAATCAGTGAGTCAAACAGTTAATTTGCCATTTTTACTGATGAGAATGGAGTTTATTAGTCTAAGTTGGTTAGGAGTTGCTCTGTACTTCTCTGCCCTCCCTCCAAGGTGACATTTTGCTGCCTGTAACTGTTGCTTTCCTAGCCTCTTAAAAGACTACACATTCCTCCAGAACAGCTGGCTCTGTGATGCTGGTCTTAGGAATTTGGTAGAATTATTCTAAACAACATATCCCACGTCTTCCATGTGTCCCTGAAACACATTCTCCCTTCCTCCACTCTTTCCCCAAGCCATTCAGGAGAGAAGAAATTTACTCTAGTTCAGTTAGCTTTAAGGTATTCTTTTCTTTTATTCCATGAAAAAAATTGTGTCCCCTATATATAGGTTATCATGTATAATGTTTGTCATTAGTTCATATTAATGTTTGTAAGGAGAAATAATTTTATTACACTGATATTCTTTATACTTAGATTATGGCTAGTTCCCAGATGATAAAAATCATTGATTACTGGATTTGTTATTTTTTTAAGTTAAAATTTTAAAAACTTTTATTTCATTAAATATTTCCCAATTACATATACAGATTTTTTAAAACTTTGGAGATGGAAAGGACTCTATAGATCATCTAATTCAACCCCCTCACTTTACATACGAAGGAAGTTAATTGGCAACATTAGGGGGTTTTTTGGAAATGTTGAATTCCAAATTATTTTCTTCCCTTCTGTACCTTCCCTACTTCTTGAGAAGACAAGCAATATAATATCAAAACATATTTTCATATTAGTCATGTTGCAATAAAAAACATAAAAAGCCAAGAAAATAAAAAAAAGCATACTTCAGTCTGCCCTCAGAGTTCATCAGTTCTCTCTCTGGAGGTAGATAGCGTTTTTCATCATGGGTTCTTTGGAATTGTTTTGTGTTGTTATCTTGATAGAGGAGCTAAGTCTTTCACATTTAATCCTTCTTACAAGATTGCTGATAATGCATACAGTGAACTTGTTATTTATACCTTCTTGTTGTTATTTATACCTGTCAGGGCTTAGTCTCCTCTTGCTTAACCTTTGAGAAACCAGGGTGACTTTCTTATACCACAGTGACTCAGTTGAGGAAGACTTTAGTGGAGGAGGACTGATGGATCAATGGTTCTAGTAGAAAGATAATATGGATAGGGTATCACAACTCCAGCTTCTAACACTATTTTAATCTGTGGTAATAGAGAGTATTCTCTAATGGTTTAGGACTTTAAGGCCTGGCTTCATATCCCAGGTTCTTCTGTATTACCTGTACTAGATATGGGAAACTCAATTAACATTCCTCATGTATAAAATGAGGGAGTTGAACTAGATGGACCGTAAGGTCCTTTCCATCTCCAAATCCCATGATCTTATATCATATAAATAGATTGACTTCCTATGGAATCTGCTAAGGAGATTTTGCTATCACTATGGAAAAAATTAATAGCATTTATCAGTATTGAAAGAAAATTCTACTGAAATCAGTTATATGAAACTTTAAATATAATCGAGAACCATTGATATCAAGTTCTTCATGTTAAATTGATTTCCATGCAAGTCATTGGAGTCCTGTTGTCTGATAAGATGGAATAGATTTATGTGGGAGGATGCAGTTAAGAAAGGCAGCTAGGTGGCACAGTGAATAGAGTGCTAGGCCTGAAGGCAAGGAAGACCTGTGTTTATATTTGGCCTAGCTGTGTGACCCTAGACAAGTCACTTAACCCTTTTTGCCTTAATTTCTTTATCTATACAATGAGCTGGAGAAGTAAATGACAAACCACTCCAGTGTCTTTGCCAAGAAAACCCCAAATGGGGTTATGAAGAGTTGGGTACGATGGAAACAAGTGAACAACAATAAAATACAATTAAGAGCTTTGCAGTGTTATTTTTTTGTACATTTTACACTTAATGATTTCAACTGAATATATTTTTCTTTAATAAAATTTGGTTGATTACATTGACATCCTCAAAATGTTTTTGCCGCAGTAGTTTAGACCAGTAAAAATGGTTTTGCTATTTTCTCGTACTCTCCTAAAAAAAGATAATTATTTTTGCTGAATCTAGAAGCAGTTGAAGAAAAGATTTGTTTTTTGATTTGAAATGCACCAGAACTTTGAAGTCACATATGCTATTGAAACAGAAGCATTTTAAAAGTCTTAATATTGGTCAGTGTTTTTTTCTTGGTCCATTCAGAGGCAGTAAAAATTAATAAAATGTGTATTTAGGACATAGCATTTTGTTATGAATGGTGTTTTTGTGAATTATAGCTTCCTGAATTTTAAAGACTTGTTGGTTGGTTGTACTATTATTTTCTAATGTTTTGTTTTGGGGATTTTAGATGTTTCTGCCATTGGAAATATAGAATGTTAGTAAATGGAAGCTGTGTGTTACCTTAATGATATTATGGATTTGCTTTTTAATTGTGGAAATGTCGTCTTAGTATTTTGGACATTGAGTCAAAATATGGTAAAGAGAAATTGTTCTTTTTAAGATTTGACTAATGTTACAAAGATACAAATCATTTATTTTACTACCTATAAACTGTTTCAGCCCACTGAAGAAAAGCTATGCTAATTTATATAGCTTTGACATTTTATAATTTTCATGATTTTTAGATAAAGGATTTTATATTTAAAACTTTAATAGTCTAGTCTGAGTTCATTTATCTTTAATTTTTGAAACGGGTAGAGTAATTCATAACAGTAATTTTATTCTGTAATGTAATATTCACTTCAGTTCATTTGTGCATTAAAATTCCTTTAAGACCGTTATTAATGATTTATATAATGAAATGTCATATTAATCACAGAAGTTTTCACATTTTATTATTCTCTTCCATGTTAATACTATCTTTATGATCTCTATTAATGTTTTATATCCTCTAATTTCAATTATAAATCAAGAACATTTTCATGTTTTTGTTGGTATTTGCCTTTCAGGGGTACCACCTTTAAAATTTTATGACTTTTTTCCCCTACATATGCAGTATAAAACATCTTTATTCATATAAAGGTAGTTAATTATGTCTTTGTTTATAGTAAACTTTCCTTGACAAACTTATAGTTATAATATTTCTCTTCAAGCTCAAAGATTAGAGCGACTTCGAAAAGAGAGACAAAACCAGATAAAATGCAAGAATGTACCATGGAAAGAAAGAAATGCTTCTCATTCAGGTAAACACAGAATGTTCATTTGCTGTTTTTGTTGCTTTTACTTGTAGTATATTTCGTCATATAGGATTGTGATAAATAATGTTGAGTAAATTATTTTCAAGCTTCATCAATAGATAGACAACTTGATGGATCTGGGCTTTTCTTGCTTCTTTGTTCTCTAAAACCACATTTTTATTTTATGGTGACTGCTTCAGATGATCACTAGATAGGGATATTCTAGAGTGGTTTTTATGCTTCAGGAAGGGGTTCAACTGGATCATTGGTCCTTAGTGTTTTTCTTGTGTCATGGATCCCTTTGGCAGTTTAATAAAGCCTATGGGCTCCTCAGATTAATGTTTTAAATCCATAAAATAAATATGTAGGCTTACAAAGGAGACAAATGATATTGAATGTAGTTCTCAAAATATTTTTTTAAAAAACATGTTCATAGAATGCCAAGTTAAGAATCCTTGAAATAGATGAGGCCTCGTCCAGTTCTAATACTGTGTATTTGATTCTGTGTTCAAAAGACTGTTATAGTTCCAGCATTCTGTGTTCTCAGGTCCATTATTTATTAACGTTAGGTAATTCTGTGATTTTCTTTGATTGAATTGTTCATTGCTTTACTGGGTCTCTTGGCTTCCTGTAATTCAGGAAATACTTTGCTTAGTGTGATCTTTTCCGACTGTTTCTTTTGAGTCTTTTCTGCGGTCCTTTGTTATTTTCCTGCACTAATCAGTGATCATAATAAACAAAATACTTTCATCTTTGTCTGAGCATAGAATCAGACATAATTGTCTTTTCATATTGTGTGTGTATGTATATACATGGTATATAAAGGTGTGCTAGTGCATATTCAAAATTATTGTCTCAGGTGGCCATGTCATTTAACAAGAAGGGGAGATTAATAAATATAAGAAATTCAGTCTAATTATCTTATCATTTAAAAACATGTATGGTTTAAAAAGACATTAAATGTTTAACTTGCCAGCATTTGAATTATAGGATTTTAGAGCTAGAAGAACATTAGATTATGTAATGTTAGAACTTAGAATGTCAGAGCTGGAAGGAAGGACCATAATAACCACATATTAGAGTGTTTTAAGGTTTATAAAGAGTTTTCCTTTATCTTCATTTTACACATGTAGAAACTGAGATGCAGAGATTTGTAGACTTAAGAACATGTTCGGTAGAGAGCTATGGCCTCGAAGCCACATTGTGGCCTTCTAGGTCCTTGGATATAGCCTTTTATCTGAGTCCCAGTTTTACAGAACAAATCCTTTTATTTAAGGGGATTTGTTCTGTGAAGTTTGGATTCAGTCAAAGGGCCACACTTGAGGAACTAGAAGGCTACATGTGGCCTCGAGGCCACAGCTTCCTCATCCCTGATATTAGAACATAGGCTCTTGACTGCTAAAACTGGAAAAAAAACATCAAATGTTAAAAACAGATAGAATTTTAGAACTGAAAAGGACCATAGGCCTTCTCTAGTCCCATCCTTTCAATTTTATGGATGAGAGAAACTGAGACTAGAGAAGTCATATCACTTCTTCTGTATTATGTAGTTCATAGCAGAGTTGAGACCAGAATACAGGTTTCTTGACTCCTGATCCTGACATTGACAGTTTAACATTTTAAAAATTAGTTATACTTGTCAGCTAGCTAAACTTTGAAACTTAGTTAAGTGAATGGGGAAGGCAGTGTTTCTCAGTGACAGTTATATTTAAAGATGTTACTTAGTCAAAAACCCCATTTGTTCTTTATCCCATCCCATTATTTCACTTCTAGAAATTTTCCCAAACCATTCAGTCAGAATGACTATTACTTTTTTATAGAAACTTTTAAAAATTCTACTAGAAATAAAGTATTTTAAAATTGCTGAATGCTAGGCCTTTGATTTTTGCCTCCTGATAAAGATCTTTTGAGTACTTTATGTCTATTTTATGTCATTTATCTTGCTTATTTAAGAATATTTATATATCTTAATGAGGTTTCTAGTCAATCTTCTCATTGCCTAGGAATATGGAGTTATTTCAAGTTCCTATTTTCAGAAAAGTATTTTTTGTTATTCTGATGTGATAAATGCTAACAGTCATGCATGTTTTCATGTATAAACAAGAGCAGAAAAAATTGCATATGAGACTGCATATTTCAGCTATGTCCAACTAGTTTTCTTTTTAAAAAGTGTATAATTTTGTTGTTAGTTTCAAAGCTGTGCTGCTTGTCCATTTTCCTCTGAATCTTCCTTTTGTTCTCTTTTATGTATTTTTAAAAATCCTTCACTGATGTTCTTTGCTTTATTTTCTTTTTTTACATCTTTGTCATCAACCTTCTCTGTCCCGCACAATCCCTCTTCCCTCTTAAAACCATGTGTTTCTCATTCTGCACTTTTTGTTTATCACCTACTTGCCTAGATATGGAAAGCATGCTTCATCATCAGCACTCTGGATTTGTAATTGGTCCCTGCTTGTCAGTTTTCAAGTCTTTCAAAGCTACTTTCACTTAATATAGTATAATCATTTAAAAATTTATCTATTTCTGCTTACTTCACTCTGCCTCGATATATACAAATCTTCCCAGGTTTCTCTAAACCTGTTACTTTTATAATTTCTAAGGGCTCAGTCATGTTCCATTACATTCCACTTCCATACCATGATTTGGTCAGAGCAACAAAAGTGCTGCTTTGAAATTTTTTTGTGCCTGTGGGTCCTTCCAGCTCTTTCTTTTATGTCTTGAGATATGTGCCTGGTAGTAGTATTGCTGGGTTGAAGAATATACACAATTTAATGACTGTGTAGAGTTCCAAATTATATACCATGATTTTCAGATCACTGAACAGCAATAGTTCATTAATGTTCTTGGCCTTCCAAATATCCTACATTGTCATTTTGCTTTTTTGTCATCTTTTCCAATCTGATGGATGTAAGGTGGAACATCAGAGTTGTTTTAATGTGTGTTTTTCTTGTTATTAGTGATTTGGAGCATATTTGTGTTATTATTGTTTTATTACTTGCTTTTTGCTTTTTTGAGGACTACATGTTAATGTTTTTTGACCATATGTGTATTGGGGAATGGCTCTTGTTATGTGTAGTTTTATCACTTCCCAGTATATTGTGGATATATATTTTGGATATGAGACCCTTACTAGAAACTTGCTGTAAAGTTTTTTTCATAGTTAATTGTTTCTCTCTTAATCTTAAGTACATTGACTTTTTATGTGCAGACCTTTTTAGTTTTATGTAATCAAAACTGTTCATTTTAACTCTTGTGAGTGTCTCTATTCCTATTTTGATCAAGAGCTCTGCTTCTGTCAGTAGTTATTAAAAGTATCTTCTTCACTGCTACTCTTACTTGTTTATATAATGTCACCTTTTGTGTCTTGGTATCTATCCATTTGGAGCTTATTGTGGCGCATGATATGATAGCTTGTTTTGGATGTAATTTTTGCCAGGCTGATTTCTTATTTTCTTAGAAGTTTTTATTGAATAGTGAATGCTTACCCTGGTAGTTGGGGCTTTTGGCCCTATCAGACATTGTACTGCTATGTCTATTTGCTTCTGGATCTTGTGTACCTCATATATTCCCGCTGATCAACTTGTCTGTTTTTTCACTAGTGCCAAATAGTTTTGATGATTACTCCTTTGTAGTATGTTTTGAGAAGTGGAACTGTTAGGTCTCCTTCCTTACCCCTTTTAAAAATTATTTTCCTTAAGAATCTTGACCTTTTGTGTCTCCAGATGAATTTATTATTTTTTTCTACTTTGATTGGTATGGTACTGAAATACTAAAATTATTTAGATAATATTGCCATTTTAATTAGATTGTTACAGCCCAACCATGCGATAATTAATTTCTTTCCAATTCTTTAAGTCTGTCTGTTTCTGTAAAGTGCTTTGTAATTGTAGCCATGTAATTCTTGTCTATGTCTTTGTAGGTAGATTCCCAAATATTTTGTATAATCTGTAGTTATTTGAATGTAATTCTCCTATCTCATCTTGCTATGTGTTGGTGGTAATATAAAGAAAAGCTGATGGTAGATGGCGGATTAATTTTATATCCTGCAACTTTGTTGATACTATTGTTTCAATTCATTTTTAAAATTTGCCTCTAGGATTCTCTGTAGACTTTCATAATTATCTATAAAAGTCATGATTTTGCTTTGTGCTTATTCCATTTATTTTTCTTGTCTTATTATTATATCAAGCATTTCTAGAATTACATCAAATACTAGTGGTAATAATAGACATCATTGTTTTAACTCTGCTTTTTTTAGTTTAGATAGTTTAGTTAGATGTGATTTACGTTATTATAGACAGGCCCACTTACTCCTATGTTTTTAAATATTTTTAATATTAAGGGTATTTTATTTTTTCAGTAGCCTTTTCTGCATTTATCAGTATAACAATATGATTTCTAACATTTTAAATTATTAAGATGATAAATTATTTTTGTTTTTCTGATATTCAACCCTGCTTTCCTAGTATAAATCCAACCTGCTCATAATGCGTAATCATTTTTAGTATTTTTCTTGTTGCCAGTATTTAGTATGTTTGCCTTATCAATATTTTTTATGAAATATATTTGCGTTGCTATTCATTAGTGATGTCTGTTTATAGTTTTCTCTCTGTTTTTTGTTTTTTTCTGGTTTAGGTTTCAAGACCATATTTGTATCATAGCAGGAATTTGGTAGAATTCCTCCCTTTTTTCGTGAACAATTCATGTAAGATTGGAGTTAATTATTCTTTGAACATTTGGTATAATTCACTAGTGGAATCATCTCATCCTAAGATTTTCTTCTTTAAGAATTGATTTATGGTTGTTGAATTTCTTTTTGCTCATCTGTGCTCACATGGGCTTACTTTGACTCCTACCTGACTTTTTCTGTTACCCAGGGTTGTATAAGAGAGCCTCCTATTTTTTCCCTTTGTATTTCAGATCAGTATTTGATCTGCTCCCTTTTGATGCTTTTGTTGGAATTCTTGCTTGATTCCCGTGTGGCCTTTCATGCTACAGTCATCAGA